CAGCCCTCCCCCCGTCTCAGGGCCCCGGAAGCGCTCACTGCTCGGCACCCTCCCTGTCTAGCTTCCCCTGGGACTCTCACCTGTGAAGACTGCCCTGCTCCAGCTCCCTGCTTTCCTGTCCCCGGAGGCCTGGGAGCTGGCGTGGTGACAGTGGCCAGGCCTGGGGAATGTGTGGTCCCTTTTAGGGAAGGGCCAGGCATACAGAGGCTGAACTGTCCCTGTCGCAAGATGCCTGAGTTCGGAGGTACTTCCCAAAAGTACCGCTTGGGAAGCCAGGGGGCTGGCGCTGGCTCTGCAGACACGCTGGCGTCCCCAGTGGCCATGGGCAGGTGGGGGGGTGGGGGCACAGCTGGCCCGGAGGTCCACGGGATCATGGTTAGGACCCTGGCTCTGGCTCCACCCAGCGACGAGCCGTGGGCAAGCTGGCACCTCTGGCCAGAGCTGCCCTCTCGGTAAGGCAGGACAGGGTGCCAGGGCTGTCAGAAGGAAGGTCAAGGTGCGGCTGTGCCCCGGAGAGGCTGTTCTTCAGCCCAGCGCTCACTAGGGCTCCAAAGGGAAGGGCAGGAACGCACAGCCCTCTCTGGTCCCGTGGGGGTTAACCATTAGGCAACACTGTTAACCTCAAAGGTGCACGGTGACTTGAAATGTTCTCAGTTCAGACCACTGTCTGGGTCACAGGGCGAGGAGCAGGGCGGAAGGAGGGGCCTGGAGGCGCCCACAACCATTAAAAACGCCCAGCAGGAAACCCCGCCCTGCAGCTGTCCCACCTGGTGGCCATCCCCTCTGACAAGGTCATTCTGCTATGGGAGGGGGGCTCCCTGCTCCTCCTGGAGGCTCTGGCCTGGCCTGGCGTGCGGCCACCATCCTGTCCAGCAGGCTTTCCCAGGAGGGAGCTGGGGCGTGAGTAAACCTCACTTCATGGTGATGGAATGTTCTCTCTGGGAACCGCAAGGAGAGCATGTCTGGGAAGGGCCCGGGGCAGCGCCCAGCGACCTTCCCGGCCGGAGGCCTTGGCTGGGCCGCAGGTGTCTGGGGGGAGGTGTCTGGAGGCTCCAGAGGCTCGACCCTGCTTCACACGTGCGTCCCAGCCCTCGACAGCGGGGAGCTGACCCTCAGCCATGCCGACGACCCAGGTGTCAGGTCAGGGGTTGCCCCGGGGTCGCCCACGCTGCCTGACACACAGCGTCAGCCCCTTTAAAACCTACGTGCTCTCGGGGTGCCTGGGGGGGCTCAGTCAGTTAAGCGTCCGACTTCGGCTCAGGTCACAATCTCAGGGTTCGTGGGTTCGAGCCCCGCGTCGGGCTCTGTGCTGGCAGCTAACTCAGAGCCTGGAGCCTGTTTCAGATTCTGTGTCTCCCTCTCTCTCTGACCCTCCCCTGCTCACGCTGTCTCTATCTCTCTCTCTCTCAGAAATAAATCACGCTGTCTCTCTCTCTCTCTCTCAGAAATAAATAAAACATTAAAAAAGAAAAGAAAAAGAAAAACAACCTACACGCTCTCCTCAATGCCATTCCCTGATCCTTTACGAGGACATTTCTACGAACTTCCTCTAGGAGGTGCCCTGCCCCTTGAGGACCTCTCTGCCGCACACTGCAGGCAGGCATCGGCGATGGCACGCGGCTCCCGTCCACCCGCCACGGCCGGTGGGGCATGCTGTCCTCCAGGGAGTGGCTCCCGGGACAACGGCGTCTCCCCGTCCTGCCCCCGGGCCCTGCGGCCAAGATCCCTTCGGGTGCCGTGCGGCCTGCTTCTCACAGAACCGCCTCCGCCTCCCCTCTGTGCCGCGCGGCCTCTGGTCCACTGGGCGCCGCCAGAGGAGCAAGTGTGTTCACACCGTGCCCAGAGCAGAGCGGGAGGCACAGGAGGCGGCCAGGGGCTCTCGGATGAGGAGGGGGACGCCTGGTGGCTCCCAGCTCTGGAAAATGCCCTTCAGGGTCGCTGAAGTCTAGGGCTCCTGGGTCCCACAGAAGAGACGACGGTGTAGGGGCAGCGGGCACCAGAGCGGGGGCACCCCCAGCCTTGTGCACCGAAGAATCGCAGCCGGCCCCAGCCCCGTGGGAAGCCCAGCCACACAGCTCACCTCCTCCAGGAAGCCCCCGCTCCCTGCTTCCTGAGGACAGGTAGTAGCTGTGTCCAGACCGGAAACCTGACTGACCTCCGTGAGCCCAGGGCGCCGTACGAGGCCCAGCTAGGTAGCCCGGAAGCTTCTCAGGCAGGTAAGGGCGGTGGGGGGTGGTGTGTGACTCGTGCAGGACTGAGGGAGCGGCTGGTCTCCCCAGCGAGGCCCTGGTCACGGTGGGTCCAGGGAGCCCGTCTCCACCCACTCGGGCAAGCGTCATTTCTAGAACCGTCCGTGTCGGCTCCGCGGCTGCCAGGGACTCCCTCCAGGAGCATGGCTTTAATTACAGCTCTTCTGGGCTCTGGTCTACAGCATCTCCGTCTGCTTGTCAGCGAAGGCTGGGGGATGGCGAGGGGGCCGGCCGGCTGGGTGAAGGGCCGGGGTTCCCGGACGGCCTTGCCAAGACGCCGGCTGGTGCCAAGCCCAGGGCGGCCGCGGCCAAGGCCGGGCTGGGGCGGGGGCTGCTGCTGGGCTCCGTCCAGGCCACTCGGGGCAGGCGGGCGGGCAGTGGTCTCCCTCCCTCCTCCCCCGCCGGCCACCCGCCCGCCTGCCTCAGACACAAAATGGCGGAGGGCTGCGGCGGCCATTTTGTGGAGCCCCAGGAAGACAAAGGCAGCCGCCGGCAGCCAGGGGCAGGGACGGGCCCCGCGGCGGCGGGGAGGAGCAATGTCCACTCTGGGAGTGCGGCCACCCGTCCTGTGTGGAGGCCCGGGAGGCCCTGGCCAGGAAGAGCAGGGGCAGGCAGTGCCCTCTCTGGAACCTTCCTCCTGCCCAAGCCAGGCCTCCGCCACCCTGGGCTCACCCCTTTGAGGGGCTCCAGGCAGTCTAGGGACACGCTCTTGCCCAGGGCAGTGGCACGGATGCTCTCCCACCTTATGGAGGAGGCAGCCTAGCTCGAGGTGGGGAGGCGGGCGTGCGAATAGGCTCATGGCCTCCTTCTGCATGAAAACCCGGCTTTGCCCCAGACCCTCAAAGGGTGGTCTTCATTCTCCCCACGGGGTGGGGGGGATGGCCTCTGACCAGATGGCTGGAGGGGCTGGCCCACACTCCAGGGACACCCCAGTGCATCCCACCCTGTGGTCCAGGCTGGTGACTTCTTCCTGCTTGCTGCCGGCAGACTCAGGAACAGCTTGCAGGACCGGCCATGCCAGGGCAGTGCCGGGTCGTGGGCGGAGGGACACAGGGGGCACCAGGAAGACCAGCCTCAGGGAGGCTTTCCTCAGCCCCTCCCGACCTCCCACAGCACCAAGGCACGACCTGGTGGGCAGCGGGTGCCCACCGAGGGCCCACATCTTTCTGACTCCGCGCTGCCCGCAGTCTCTGCACCTTTACCACATCTTACTCAGAACCCCGAATGTGAGGCAGAGACAAGCGGGACTCCGCTCTGGGGGCCATGGGTCCAGGCACAGGCCACCCCTCCACCTGCGCAGAGTAGAAGCCCGGGGCTGAGGCCAATCCCACTTAACAGGCTGGCAGACTGAGACCCAGGGTCCAGCAAGATGGGCCTCACACAGCTGGGGCATGGCCCGGGCCTCGTGCTCTGATGGGGACAGGCTGAGCCAGAGCCAGGAGCAGGGCCCGGGTCAAGAAACAAGACAGGAAGGGCACCTGGGGGCTCAGTCGGTTAAGCGTCCGACTTCAGCTCAGGTCACGATCTCGCAGTTCGTGGGTTCAAGCCCCTCGTCGGGCTCTGTGCTGACAGCCAGCTCCGAGCCTGGAGCTGCTTCGGATTCTGTGCCCCTCTCTCTCTGCCCCTCCCCCACTCACTCTCTCTCTCAAAAATTAAGTAAACATTAAAAAAAAAGGCCCAAGACAGTGGAGTGGGATTGGGAGGGAAGCCCCACACCGTTCCTAGCGGGTGGCTGTGGAGGGGACACGGTGCGGTGTGGGGCAGGCGCCACGGTTCCCATCGCTCATGCAATAGCGACAAACGCCGGGCCTGAACAGAGCGCTGTCCTCACTGAGGGCCACTCCCGGGAGCCGCCCCCCCGGGGTGAGACAGCCCATAGCCCAGGTCCAGCCCCCATCTGCCCGATGCTGCCGCAAGCGTGTGTACCCCTCCCAGGCACGTGCTCCCCAAACGCAAGTCGCCAGCACCCACGACATGCCAGCCACTGACCTGCATTCATCCCGCCGAGCGCCTCAGTCAGTCCCCATTACAGCCTGATCTGCCGAGGAGGAACGAGCATAGAGAGGCCAAGTCACTTCCCCACGCTCACACAGCCGAAGTCAGGCACCCTCGTACCCTCCCCGGCGCTGTAGGCACGAGGGACCAGAAACCCACAGACGTCTCTGCTTACGGAGCCCTGGACACACAACTAAGAAGGACCAGACTCCTCTATACCTGGTGACCCCAGGAAGCCCCACTGACACGTCCACTTTGTCTTCCTCAAGGTGGCAGGGTGTCGTGGCCTCTCCGATTCACTGAGGCCGCCAGGCTAGGTGTGCGTGCTGGTGGTGGTGGAGCAGAGCGGCTCGGACCCAAGCGTGCCGAAACAGAGACATCGGCCCTGTCGCCGGCCCCCGGCCCGCTCCCCCCCACCCCCCGGGGGGGCCACCGCTTAGGATCCAGCAGCGCGACACCTGCTGGAGACCAGGGCTGGCCCCTCGACCTCCCTGAGCCTCGGTACCCCCCCAGCCCGCCGCGGGGAGTGGCGGCCACCCAGCCGGGCTGTTACCACCAGCAAGGGCGCTGGTGGGAGGGGCGTCCAGCGCAGGGCCTGCCGTCCAGGGGAGCTCCGGGGCAGCCCTCTCCCAGCAGCCTGTCCGCAAGGGTCTCCCGGTCCCTTCTCTCCTCACCTGCCAAGGCTAACCGTTCCCAGCCAGAGCTCGGCTGCTCAGAACCAATAAAGAGGCACCGAGGGAAGCCCCTCATTCTGTTTTGTATTTTCACTGGGACCAAAAGACCAAACGCAAGCTATCTTTAAGGCCTTCGCGTCTATCTGGGTAAATCAAGGCTGGCTGGAAGTTTAGCGTCAGGAGTTCCTGCTTCACCCTGGCTGTGGGCGTCAGACTCGGGTCAGTCTTGGGAGCAGGCCCTGGGTGCCTGCCTCAGTGGGGCTCTGCCACGGGGTGTCGGGTCCGTCATCCCAGGCCTCACGTTTCTGTGAACCCCCGTCTGTGCCAACTTCTGAGAAACAGGGCGGCCCGTCTGTCCACAGGAACCCAGGGTGCTGCGGAGGGCAGGGCCAAGTCCCCGCAGAGGACAGGCCACCACGGGGTGCCGAGCAGAGGTCCTGTCCGCGCTGGGCATGGGCGAGGCACCAGGGGCTCAGCGCAGGGAAGGGACCAGAGACGGAGGGGGCCTCCTGCGTCCAGACCTCTCCCCGGAAGCCCAAGTCTGGGCAGACTTCAAGGAGAACAGAAGCGAGGCAGTTCAGAGACAGCCCACCAGCCGAGTCACGATCCCCGTAAGCCTTTGGCCCCCCAGGCCAGCACCATCATCCCAACCACCCCTGTTCCGGGCACACGTGAGGCCAGAGCTGGGCTATTCCCAGCCCCCAGCCTCCGTCTCAGGCCGAACAGAATGGAGATGAGGAACCCCACCTGCCCGGTAATGCCGGGGCTGCAAGAGGGCGTGTGTGCACACGGGAGGGGCGCCCTCCCCTCTGGCCCCGGGCCTGTTCTCACCCCTGCAGTGAGTGACTGGGCCGTACGGTCATCCTGGTGACCACTCGGGCTGTGGCTGAGCACAAAGCAAGCACCTACTGTATGCACCGGCCTTGTCGTCTGTCCAGTGCATAGTAGAGGCGATATGGGAGAGCCCACTCGTCCAGACCTGCTCTTCTCCACCTGGGCCCCTCCCCACGTGAGCTGGGCCTCAGCCACTATGGGCCCCGTCGCCCTGGCCCATGGGCCCGTCTAGCCTCCCAGGGGGGCTGGCCCCGCCGCCTCCGACCTCTGCCTATGCTCCTGGGGACACGCCCTTGTGGCCTCCTGCATGTGTCTGTCGGGGCCTGGGGACGCGGGACCCAGGCTCACATTGTGGTGCCTGCGTCTGCATGAGGAATGCACCTTCTGGGGGCCTGGGTGTCATTTGGACTCGGGAGGCTACCAGCTGCCAGTGAGACATCAGGGGACCTCACAGTGGGCGCCCAGGAAAGCACCTGCACCAGACGGCCCGGGGCACAGGCCGGCAGAGGCCCTGGGGACGCCTGGGCCCAGCTGCACCTCCAGGCTCCCCCCCCCGCCCCCGTTTCCTGTCGCTCTGCTCCATGTCTCCTCTCTTCCTGTGCCCTGCCCTGCTTTCTCTCTGCCTCCACTCTGTCCTTCCCCTTCCTGACACCCCCGCGCCAGGTCCCCCTTGCCCTCCGTCCCGCGTCCTCTGGGGGCCTCCCCCTGTCCCCACCTGTGCTCCACGCACCGGCCACCCCCCCCCCACTGCCCCGGCACCGGCTGGCGTGCAAGCTGCAGGCAGACACCAAAGCCCTGGGGGCCGCGTCTGCAGGGTCTTGTGGGCAAGCTGGACCTATAAACACACGAGGCCCAGCTGGCAGAGGGGTCCTGAGCCCAGACGCAACAGCCTGGGGTCCTCTCCACCCGGACGTGGGAGGCAGGCCTGCCCCGGCCATGGCAACCGTAGGGGCGGGGAGGGGATGCCTGTCTGGCCCACATGCCCCACAGACTCCCCGGGAGGCTGGAGCCAGCCAAGTGGGCCCCGAGGCCTGCACCGCGGGCCGGCTCCTGGGGGCAGCGGAGCGTGGGCAGGGGGGCTCTGGGCCCCACAGTCCCCCGTTGGGGTCACGGGGCAACGGGATAGGGGGCAGCGGGGGGGGGCGGGGGGGGGGCCCAGCAGGTGAGCCCCTGTGCTCTGCCCACCCCACTTCTAACAGCCCCTGCAGCTGGCCCCAGCCCTCCCAGCGCGGACCCCCGAGCCCCCGAGGCAGATGGCGCCTCCCCCACTTCTGTGCAGAAGGCAGCCAGAGAAACGGGCCTGAGGCCAGCTTCCCTGGAGCCAGAGGCCTGGGCAAGCCCCTGACTTGGGTGGACCTTGGTCCCTTGACCACAGAGAGAGGCCGGTGGTAGGTCACGGCCGACGCTGGAGCGGCCACAGCGGCGCCCTGGGTGTGAGCACCGCCTGCTCGCTCCTTCGTCTGCCACTAGCTCCATGTGTGCTACGTGTGTGCACGTCCCACCTCAGACATGCTGGCCAGGGCGGTACCGGGGGCAGGGGGGGTGGGTGGCCCTGGTTTTCAATGTCCAAGCTGCTGCACTGACCTGAGGGTGGTGCACGGACAGTCACGTGAGCTACAGAGTCACCCGCAGAGCAAGGTTGCAGGACGCAGGGGTGAGTCCTGGAAGGAGAGAGATGCTGTGTAAGTCTTGGGAAAGAGCCCACCCCGATGCTCCCCCTGCCCTGAGGGGCTGTGAGGTCACCTCAAGGACCCCAAGTGTGACTTTGTGCCCCAAACGCTGGGAATGGAACAGCCCAATTTTCCAGGGTCATCCGCCTCTGGGCCGCAAACATGTGGACTTGGGGCCAGAGAGATGCTCGTTCAAAATCAGACTCGGCGAGGCCTGATGGCTTGGCCTGGGCCCCCTTACTACCTCTCAACCTAGGTTTTAGGGTTGGGGACAGTCAAGTGACAGAGTGCATGAGGCACTGGTGTGGATGAGGGGACCAGCACTATGATGATGCCCTCATCCAGGGCGTCACCCCCAGGCAGCTCTTTGGGCATCACTGTGGCAGAAGGTACTCCCTGAACATCACTTCTTGCAAGGGATAGTCTTTTCCTCTTTGCTTTGGCTGCTGGGAAGCTCAGGGCTGAATGTACAGCTCAGCACCAGCAACTAGCAGACTTCTACGTGGCTCAGCTTCTGCTGGGCCTACCTCTGATTTCCCCTCTGCCCCAATTCCCTCAGCTGTTTATTTTTACCCTTGTGTATGTTCTGTGTTACTCTAAGCTTCAATAGAAACATATGCACATTTTATACTCCTATCTTTACTCATTTATGTGGCCGGACAAACACAAATACTACCTAAAACACCTTCATTCCCTCTCGGCCCACGTGATCAGTGGGGGCTGTGTGTATAGGCTTCATCTCTATGGGCTGTGACTGTTCCCAAGCCAGAACCCCCACTTCTTGGCGGGAAAGAGAGGCTCCCTCTTCTGTTCCTTTGGTGCCTGGGGGAGGGGGGCACAGGAAGAGGTCTGGATGCCCCTTTTGCAAATGAGAAACAGAATCCCAGGGAGAGGCCATGGCTTCCCCGAGGCCACACAGCACTGAGGGCCAGGGAGAGCCGGGACCCGGGAGGTTTGATCTCAAGACCGGGGTTCAGGTCCCTGCCACGGTGTGGCCGTTTCCGTGAGCCCTCAGGGTTGGCGGCAGCCCCCAGGCCGAGCCTGGGTATGGCAGTGCCGTTCCAGGCACGGACAGAGACCTCAGGGGGAACACAGCCAGGCTGGACCCCCCGCAGGCCCCACAGCGCACCTGCCACGGGCGGGTACACACGGGCCTGGGAGCGCCCCACGGCGCCGCTCAGATCCTGAGGTCAGCGTGGAGACCTCTCCCCACATGCAGGTCTCCGCAAGGCTGTGAACCTGACGTGGGGCCTGTGGCCGTGGCCAAGGCAGGCCTGGGCTCCAGCTCCCGGAGCGCTGAGAGCCTCCAGGCCGCCTTGGAGACAAGGCCCCTGGCCGCGCGGAGCCGAGGCCGCCCCCACGTCCCCACGCCGCCTCCGCTCGCCCTCTTGTGTCAGTGCCGGCACACGGAAACCCGAAAACCTGCTGAGCTCCGGCAGAGAACGAGGCTGGAAGAGCACGGGCACGGCCCCAGCACCGGCAGGGCTTCCTGCCCTTGAGTGAGGTATAAACCACTGTGCTTTCTGGGGGCCTCCCGGGTGCAAAGACTTTCGTCCCAGCCCCTGGGCCCTCACCGAAGCCACGCGTGCTCTGGGACTTACTCTGTGTCCCCAACCCTTCACCAGGAAGAACTTCTGCCCCAAGTCTTAGGGATGAGTAAACTGAGGCTGCAAAGGAGCCTGTCCAGTCGGCCGGCTCGCAGCCGGGGCCGCGGGCGGTGACGGTCAGAGCTCGCCCGGGAGAGTCTCTGCAGCAACGGCCCGGCCCTCTCTCCTTCCATCCGCCCCGAAGAGGTGAATCAGAGACACCGGCCGCTGGGCGGGCAGCGGGACTGAGAGGCACGGCCCACGGCAAGCCACGGAGTCCACGCGCACACCTCGCTCCCGTCCTGGAGGAAGGGCCTCATCCACCTGCCAGGGGCCAGTGAGCCCCTCGGGAGCCCTGGGCGGGGCGGGCCCTGCGGAAGGCTGAAAGATGGCTCACGCTCCCCTCCCGCCAGGCCGCCCACCTCCCGGGCTGCCCCCTGCCCCGGCCCAGAGCTAAGGCCGTCTATCTACCTGGGCCACGTGGTCGTGGAGTGTGTCCCAAAGGCCACGATGGGTCCCAGTTCCGCGGGGGGGGGATGGGAGGAGTCGGGTCCTGAAAGACACAAGGTGACCGAGCCATCAGCTGGGGCAGGGGCTCAGCGTGACCCTCCCCCACCACAACCACCCACAGGTGCCCCCCATCCCCGCACTGCAGGCGGGTTACTGACCGCAAGGAAAGCCTCGTCTGACCGCCCTGTTCCCGACCCTGGGTGGACCCCCACCCGAGACCACACCCCAACCACAGGCTTCCTTGCAGTCCTGCTGCTCACGGCTCCAAGGTCTGCAGGGGAGGGGCCGACGGTGAGGCTGCCGTCACAGTGCCCCTCCCCCCAGCTCCAGCCCTGCGTTGGCACCTACTGTCCCCCGGGCCCAGAACGTTCTCCTGCCATCAAAGCCCTATTCCTCATTCCTACCCATCGTTTAGGTCACTCTTCCAGCGATGCCGCCTGGGTCAGAGCAGCCTGGGGCCCCGGCATCGGCTCACAGATTCCGGCCCTGCCTGCCTCCCGGAGGTAAGGAACGGACCCACTCTGCCTCTGCCCCAGGCTGGGTGTGGCCGGGTGGCCGGGAGGGAGGGGAGTCCCCGCACAGAGTTCCCTTCCCTTCCCTCCCCTGCACTCTTTGAGCACCCCAGCTCCCTGAACATGCCAGGCTCCCACGGACCCCCCCACCTCAGGTGCAAGAATGCGGCTGCTCCATCCCTTCAGGAGTGCGACCTTCCCGAAGCCTTCCTGTCACCTGAGCAGGTCCCCCCACCTGGAGCCACCAAGTGGCTCACAGCCCTCCCGGCAGAGGCCCCAGACGTGGGTGTCATGGGACTCATGAGGCCCTCAGAGGCTGGAGGGGGCCTGCTGGTGGGGTCCCCAGGATGTGCTTGGACTCCCAGCCCCCAAATGCTGCACGGAGCCCCAATGTCACCCCCTGAAGAAGGAGATGTACAGGAGCCTATGAACCCGATGCCCCCTGTCTTGCAGGCAGTGTGGACTCAGGACCCCGAGTCACACAGCTCTGGGTTCTAAGCCTGTTTCTCCATCTCAGCCTCAGTTTCCCTAGCTGCGGGATGAGGCTTCTGGCCGGAGCATCCCACTATCCTACAGCAGGGGGGCCGTCCCCGGGAAGGCACTGCCCTAGGACCACACAGCCCCTGCGTAGCCGGCTGGGACGCCCTCTCGGCCTCTCCCCCTGCACTGATGTCTGTTGGACAACCCCAGGCCCACCCGCCGGAGCCCACATGATGCCCCCAGGAAATCCCTTGAGCAAGGTCGTCTCCGCCACCCTCACCTGGAGTGGACGGGACAGTGCTCTGGGGCTGCCCAGGGAAGAAGCACCCCAAAACAGCCCGGGGGAGCCAACGGAGCAGGCCCCCACTCTTCCCTCTGGACGGGGCTCACAGAGGGGTGCTCCCACGGACGGCTCACCACGGTGCCTACAGGCCCAGCAGCCGAGGCCCCCCCTTCTGCAAATAGCCCAATTCAATACAACTAGTCGATGTCAGGAGTAGAAACTGGGCTTCCGGGGAGCTGGGGGAGGCCCCCCGACGTCTGTTCTGGACACACAAGGGGGTGTGGAGCCTCTGTCCCGGCAGGTGAGCAGGGCTCCAGTGCAGGAGCAGGTATGGCCCTTGGCCTGACCCCTGAGACGCAGGAGCCACACGTGGCCATGGCTCGAAAACTCTAGACAGTGGCCCGGGGCGGGGGGTGTGATGTGAAGTCCGGGCGCCCGGTCCAGCTTCAGAGCAGCACTGACAGAATGCTCTCCCCCTGGGACACTCTGTTGCTCCCACGTCCTGGCACCCACGCTCCCAGTGACGGCACAGAACAGTCAGGCAGAGTGTCCACTGGGGACCCACGCGGGGGAGGCCCCAGCGGGCCCGGCACACGGCGGCCCTCTCTCGGCCTGCCCATCTTCACTCTCTGCTTGCTTCCCGTCACCATGTTCTGGCCTAGGCAGCCCTCATGCTACCTGCCCCCGGAGCCTCTAAAAGTCTGCCGAGCCCGTCGTTCTCCGTCTGCGCTGCCTGTTTGGGGTTCGGCTCCAGGCACAAGATCATCTTCTCTTGCCGTCTCCTCGGGGACGTGGGAGAGGACGGCCGCCCCCAGAGCCATGGCCAGCGTTACAGCGGACAGGAGTGGAAGTCCCAAGCCCAGGGCTGGCTCACCGATGTCCACCACGGCTCCCCTTCTGGGGCCCCCACACTGGGACCCAGTCCCCCTCAGAGCCTGCGCCCCATGGTGTGGTCACTTGCGTGACAGGGGTGGCCCAGGCCACCTTGGCAGCTTCTTCTCCACGCAGTTTTGTGCTCTGCAAGGCTCTGTCACATGGCTGGCACTTAGCTGTCTGAAACAACACTAGGTCCCCACCCTGCTCCCCTGTCGCCTGTCCCCACCCTGCTCCCGTCGCCTGTCAGTATCGCTGGTCTCTGGAACATTCCTGTGTCTGTCTGCAGGGGGGTCCAGGGGCGACTGAGGTCCCATTGCAGCTCTGGACAATCCCCTTCACCTCTCTGGGCATCAGGCTCCCAACGTGCTACACAGGGACAGCGACACCCACCTCCCCAGATTCACATGCGAGACGAGGGGCCCGAGCAGACACGGTGGGGCAGGGACCCTGATGTGGGCCCAGCCGCAGGGCCCAGAGCCATGGGAGCTCAGACCCCCAGAGGGCTCATACTGCCTCGTCCACGCTTCTCTTCAGCATTAAACTTGGCCTTCCTCCAAGGTCACGTGCAAGAGAAACATCCGCACCACAAGAGCCAGTTGCTAATGAATCCTGCGCAGAGCATACCCTCAACTTACATGCAGAAACGGGAAGGACGGAGGCCTGGCCCTGGGTCCCGTCAGACACCCGAGGCCTCAGAGGGACCCCGGACAGGCGGGAAGGGGTCAGAAGTAGGCCGTGAGCTTCCGGGCAGCCACATCCTGCAGCCGGAGGCGGCCTGATGCACAAGCCGGGCTGCACCCGCAACTCTCCAGCTTCGTTTGAGCCAACATGGCTCTGGCGGGGACGTGGGGCGCGACAGCCACCACAGCGGGCGGCGGGGTAGGGGCACAGGCAAGCCCAGACCCACAAGGACACAGCGTCCAGTGGCAGAGCCGCTGGCCCCGGCGGGGAGCCTCGGCCGCAGAGCCAAACAGGCCGCCTAGAACTTGCCGCGTTCTGTGGACTTCAAGGAGCCCGGCCTCTCTGCGCCCCAGTTTTATGGCTTAAAAAGCAACCATTTACAGCAACTGTAAAAAGCTGATGTCAGGAAGCGAAAGAACACGAAACTCCCAACGGCGTGGCCAGCGCACACCACACTAAATCCCCACCTCGGTTCCAGAAAAGGGAGTGGCTGCCTGAGGCCCGTTCGCACACCCACCTCGGGCTCTGTCGAGTCAGGGTTTGTTGCAAAAGACATCAAGGTATCTAGTGGCGCAGAACCGGGCCCAGTGCTAGCGCGGCCACCAAACTGTCCACAGACGTCCCTTCCCCACATCAGGCTCTGGGCACCCTGCACACAGACGGACACTGGTGGGCGGGCCCTGCCCCAACGTGGGAGCACGGCCACCAGCATCAGCCTCGAGGGGCCTCCAAGTGCTCCCCAACCTCCGTGGCCCCTCCAGGCCCCCAAGTCACCTCTGCTCATTTTCAATGGCCCCTGGGACGCGCTGCCCTCATGGCAACATCCTACACCTCCCGTAAACGTCTCTCATTTAAATGTTTTCTTCATTCCACAAGATCTGCCCAAGTGAGAAAAGGAGAAAGAGCAGCAGCCGCCCGGCCCTCCTCTGCTGAGCCCAGGCTGCGGAGGACCCCCCTCCCAGGGGGACCCTCTCCCGTGTAGCAAGGCGGGCGGCCTTGGCCTTTCCTGGCAGCGTCTCCCGCACCGTGTGCCCTCAGGTGGCTCTGTCACAGCCGCCGGGCCCAGACACCGACACTGGACAGCACCCAGATGCTCCGTGGCTCATGTGCGGAAGACGTGTTAGGACTCACACCTCGGTCTTCCTGCCCAGATCTTCCCCCCTTCCCCCGGGGAGACCCCAAGAAGTGGGGTCCCAGCTCGAAGCCCAGGATCACTGGCGCACACCTGGGGCAGCCGCCCCAAACCCGGGGCCTCAGCACCTTCCAGAGACTCACCAAACGTCAGCGGCGCAGGTTGGAGAGGGTGGGGATGGAGGTTCAGCTCGGGGGAGGGGCTGGCCTGAGATCACACAGCAAGCTGAGAGCAGAACCCGGAGGGACTGAGGTCCCCTGCCTGTTGGTTAAGTGTCACCTCCCTGAGGCACATTTTTTTTTTAATGCTTTATTTATTTCTGAGAGAGAGACAGCGTGAGCAGGGGAGGGTCAGAGAGAGAGGGAGACACAGAATCTGAAACAGGCTCCAGGCTTCGAGCTGTCAGCACAGAGCCCGACGCGGGGCTCGAACCCATGAACCGTGAGATCATGACCTAAACGAAAGTCGGACGCTTAACCGACTAAGCCACCCAGGCGCCCCATAAGGTACGCTTTTTAAAAGGCCATAAAGGAGGGCGCCTGGGGGGCTCAGTCAGCTAAATGTCTGACTCGGTTTCAGCTCACAGTTCATGGGATTGAGCCCCATGTCAGGCTCTGAGCTGATGGCATGGAGCCTGTTTGAGATTCATTCTCTCTCTCTCTCTCTCTCTCTCTGTCTCCCTCCCTCTCTCCTGCTCACACTCGGTCTCTAGAAATAAATACATATAAAAAAAAGAGAAAAAGGCCTTAATGGAAGCTGCCCCAGACCTGCCCCGGCTGCACAAAGACGTCAGGGCCCTCAGAAATCACAGGCCCATGAAGATGAAGAACGAGGAAGAAGAGGCGTGCAGGAGGTGCTTCGGACGGGCTGGGCAGCCTACTGCCAGGGGAGAGGAGGCAGGAGGGCTTGGCATTTTCGAGGACTTCCTGGAGGATGAGGACTCCCGTAGGCTGCAACGCGGCAGCAGGGCCCTGCAGGAAATTCATGAACTGGAAACATCTGACCTCAACTAACAGAACAAGCCGCTGCTCCGACGACACGTGGTGGGAAATGGCCGCAGAGCCTGCTCGGGCTGCTCT